TGCGCGGCTTCTTCTCAGTACTGGCCCATTTATTGTCCCGAAGCAGTGGTAGGGTTAATACTGGGTGGTTTAAAGTGCTTTTTAAAAGCCTACTTGCAAAAACAAAATGAGTTTTATAATAGTATGTAAATGAGACTTGTAGCTGAAATATTAATATCCCGTTTATCCACTCGAGCTGCAAAAATAGTGATAGAAATGCGACAAAAGTAAAGCTTACAGGAAATTAAATTACCATTTTAATAACTGTTGCGATGCCCCATCACAACTGAATTTTGGGAAAAGGAAAAGCGTGAATCTTGTTTATCCGAAATAAATAAATATCCTTGGACATTTTACACTACGCCTCTAGTCCTATAAATGAGATAATAAATTTTATAACTCTACAATCATGGAATAGTAGCAGAAGGTAATGGGGGCTTTGAAAGTCTAAAATTGGGACTACTTCTAACATTCTAGTAATGTTGGTTGTTACAACCCCTACAATAAATTAGGTTTCTTCTTATAAGAACTCAATTTATTCAAAAAGTTAGCGCTTCTCCCTTCACCGCCTACTCGAAGAACAACCGACATTGACAGAGTCCTTAATTTTTCAAGACAACCTCTGGCAGGTACTCAGAGAATTTGCTAAAAATAATTGTAACTTGTACCGGACTTGTAAAGTAGGGGAAAAGTTTGGGAACCGTCGCGGCTAAAGATAAGCAAACTTTGGGAACTCTTGCCAAGATCAATATCTGGTGTAAGAACGACGTTTAAAATGGTTACCTTTGTCATACTGAACTTTTTTAACCGTTATACATAAGGGAGAGTCCGCTAATTTGGACCAGTTTTTTTCAATCTCATTTTACACATAGTTTTCTTTTGTTTTTGCTAATGTCCATGGTATATAATAAAAGATACATTATTCAACTTACTATTTCATAAGTATTGATTAACATGATTGTTGTATATTTAGCACAAATCAACAAAGTACGAGTTCAGAGCTTCGGTCCAATTTAGCCAACCGGTTCGATAATTTGTACCACAGAGTTACTAAATTGGATTTCAATAAATTTCAAGCCTATAATAAAACTATGGCAAAATATTATACGATACATTCTTAACAAATTAGGAAACGAACAGGAACAGTAGTTAATAACATAGACAATCGATATTGTTTTACACGTTATCACGATTTTGAGTACAAGTTTTGTAATTCCAATTATCCTAAAGTACACTTGTACCTAATCTACTTTGCCAGTCTTTTGCTTTCATTTATTGTTAGTCAAACATAACTACGCTATTATAACTTCAAAATATGATTAACAAAAAAAATTTCAAAATCCTTTGGTAAAGTTCCATACAACTTGATGTGGTACAATTTAGCCGACTAGGTGATAGTGCTTTTAAAAAATCGGTAAAAAATATAGCTTATAAATACCGAAAAATGTTTCAAATAATTGTGATCCACACTAATTTACGCTTCTAAATAATATATTAGAAACACCCTGTGATTAAATTTAACAAAATTACAAACTAAACATGTATTATCAAAAGTTACTTGAAAACAATGAAAAAATACTTTTCAAAATAAAACACGCGTGTTTGTTGTCACGGCAATAACCACATGGCCGATATTAATTGATTTTAGTTGTGTATCGCTGAGTGTTGCAATTACAAACATTCAATAAATACTTTACGAAATATGAGGGTGGTACAATTTACCCGGCGGTACAATATACCGAACTCTCCCCTACATAGCTTAAGCAGTAAAATTCAAAATCTTAGGCTGAGTTGCACCACCTAAATTTTGCGGAAACTAACGTTAACTGGTGCTTTTTGTATGGAGTTTGACAGATTTTTGACGTTTGTCTTAGTTAAAGTAAGATGGTGCAACTCAGCCTTATATTAATAAGCAATTAACATTGCCGTCATATTCGTGGTGCCATATGTATCGTACCAAAAAGAAAGATAATTTAATAGTTATATTAAACGGGCATGGTTAACGCAACATTATTTCTTTCAATTATCTCATTATTTCTTCAAAGTACCTTCTTACTCATATTCCGAAATTTTGAATGTGATCAATACCATCTGGCCTACCAAAAAATACCTGGGGAGGTTTTTGAAATCTAGTCAACACAACGTTGTTTTTAAAAAACCAGTAGACCTAAAAAGAAAAGTCTTAAACAAGGTTAGGTTCGTATCCCGGTGTCGTCATAAAAACGGAATCCATCACTTTTTCCAGCGCTGCAGTGGAGTCGTGCAATTTGCCTTTACAACCGGTGATATTATTTACCGGTAAGCCTATTTTACCGGTACCGGTCGATTTCGATGCTCCATTTGCTAAGCCACAATCGAAGTTGGTTCAGAAAGCTTGTTGACCAAAAGGTATTCTAAAAACAGATCTGTCAGAACTCTAGTTAAAATCTGTCACTGAAGGAAATTGGTTGTTGGGGTTGTTGTTGCTTTAATTAATTTGCAGTTAAAAGTAATTTTGTACTACATTGTGCATTGTGGAAGTACAATTCATGTACAAAACAATGCCCCAGCTGTCTAAGGGTTAAAATGTGACTCTCACATTAATGTTATATGGAAAAAAATACCTAAGTTGTGTGTGAAGTTACTAATGGATCTCCTCTGCAATTCTCACAGCTGCAAAAAATATTTTACAGTTAGATTGTAAAATACGATTTTGTGTTTCTAAAGAAGTTATATCATGGACTTAATGCCTGGTAACTACCCAATTCTATGATAACAAACCCTCTTACTTCCGTTTCGGAAAGCCAGTTGAGCCTACCATATTTGCTTCAACTGTGTCATGGCGGAAATCGACTTCGCCTAGTAATATTCGCCTCGATTCGCCCGCGGCGTCCAAGCCGTAAAAGTTTAGTCAGAAAACGCGATAAATTGTTGCAAGTTCGAGCATGCGAGATATCGTGCTGAGGCCTTTGATTGATAAGCCCTGGACTAAGGCTGGGTTGCACCATCTTACTTTAACAAACGTCAAAAATCTGTCAAACTTCATACAAAAGCACCGGATATCGTCATAGTTACCGTTAACGTTAGGTGGTGCAACTCAGCCTAAGAGCGAGTGAACGCCAGACAGAACAGACCACCTTGACCGTTCCAACTCCTTGCCAGACAATCTTTTTAAAGTAGCTGTCAAAGCCACGATGACCCAAGCTTCATGATGCACCAACATTTTTACCTACCTATGACCGTTTCAACTCCAGACAATAATTTTAGGATAGCTGCCAAAGCCACGATGACCCAAGCGTCATGATGCACTGACGTTCTTATCTATGTTGGGAGCATGCGCTGACAAACTTTCAGCTTTTATAAAATGACGTAGGTCTGGCCTGGCGTTCATTAGCTCTCAATCTAGTATAAATTTGCAGTTTTGATAACATCCTACTAATATTATAAATGTTTTGTGAGGACGGATTTTTACTCTTTCACGAAAAAATTACTTTAGGGATTTTGTTGAACCTTCACATTGTTATTGTTTATATCTAATCAAATTACCTAGCTATAGGCTTTATATCTGACGATCTGTTACAAGCTGCATTTTACGCTGGCGACTTTACGGCCAAAGTTAATATTTGATAATAGTATAAAATCACCTTATGATCGTAAAAGCATAATTTCAAGACATCAAAAATAACTTGTCAAATGATCATCAATCAATTTTTAATTACTTTCCTATATATTTATGAGTTCCTATCTCGGAAAATATCTAAGTAAGATGAGAGACGCAATTTTCTGCAATAATATACCTTTGGTCATATGATTTATGATTGACAAGTTAATGCGTGAAGCTTTATAAACTTATTTTGTTTCTATTCTTAGTAAAAATAAATTAACGTGTTTAATAACCCTCTCATTATTTTATCCATTTAAAATATTAATCATCCGATAAACTCAATTGGATCGTTCTTTGAATGTCAATTTATAGAAAATAGAGGCTTCTAAACATACGTTTACGTACAAAAATAGCGTGGCACTTTCGCCAGTTTTCCAGTACAGCATTAAAAAACCACTCCAACTTAGCACCCTATCCTTGCTGGTAGGCTTAACAGCATCCAATGTTAATTCCACTTAAAGTTGTTAAGTGCCAGTAAACCGTGGATGTATTTTTCCTTTCTCGACTAAAACGTTTCGGGGTCCCGCCACACCTGAGCTCGGTTAAGCTGCGCTGTGTATTTTGTGTTTAAAACTGACACCCATATTACCAAACGATGCTTGCTTAAGTGAAGCAGCAAATCGAACGCACAGCGTTTTATAGAGCTCTGTGATTGGTTCGTGTGTCACCCTTTGCGTCCACGCGCACTATGAGACCTCATAGTAAATTTGTGAATACGGGCGTTAGTCTTTACTGCAAAACGACGGCTCTCTCTATTTCACCACAGACAAGAGAGAATTTGATCTCTGACATTGACACTCCTCATGGAGTAGGTACACTCTTCATAAAACAGATAAGTTAAAAACAAAATCTGTAAAATACACAGACGGTTTAAACCAGGGTTGCCAGCATTATTAATGTCAGCCCCAGCGTAAGGAGCCTGGACTATATGGCGGAGCCGTTACCCACTCAAGTTCATGGCTGCGCGCCTCAATTTAGTCAGTTATATTGCTCTCGCACCTGCTAGGTTTTAGTGTTAGGATGGACTATGCCTTTTTGAGGCTAGAACGAAACGAAAATAGGAATTTCCCTATGTTTCGCTAGATTTAACTGGAAAATTAAGAAGGATTACTTAGTTAAAATGTAAATGAAAAAGTATCTCTATGTTTGTCTATTACGTTTACACGTCTAAACCGTGAAACCATATTTTGATAACAATTGCAACTAGCCTTCTGGGCATTTTCTCTCAAAATAGCGACCGCAAACACAGCTGTGTCGTCGTTTTTATTCTTAGTTTTTTTTTATATCTCTATAACGTTATAGCCCCTTTTAATATATCCACAAAGTCCTAGCACGTTTAACGTAGAATAGTAAGAGAATCCTCATCATTTTGTTCTAGGATGAACCAGCATCCTCCGGCGACAGCGGCGACGAAAGCGGCAGCGAGCCTGAGTCGCCGAGTGAGAAGCGGGCGCAGGCACAGAGCCTCAGGGCCGAGTGGCTGGAGCAGACTGAGAGAGAACCTGCCGCCAGGTGAGATAGAACTTATTTGAGCAAGATACCTTAGGAGACGGTAGAGAAGAAACCGAAAGTGAAATTGTGTCACTCAGCAAACAATTGCTGCAGGAGTGGGAGGCTCGAGCGTCGGATTGAAAACTGGTAAGGCAGATTACGCTGTGATTGCTTATTGCAGGCACAGAGCCTCAGGGCCGAGCGGCTGGAGCAGACTGAGAGAGAACCTGCCGCCAGGTGAGACAGTGATAGCTTATTTGAGCAGGGCAGGGCAGACCAATTTTGACCAATGTGTGTTGCCAGTGATGGTATACGGATCTGAGACGTTGTCGCTTACTATGGGCCTCAGAGTAGTACTAAGAAGGCGAAGGCGACGATGGAGCGAGCTATGCTCGGAGTTTCCCTGCGTGATCGAATCAGAAAAGAGGAGATCCGCAGGAGAACCAAAGTAACCGACATANCAAAAACAGATCTTTCAAAACTCTACTTAAAATCTGTCACTGAAGGAAATTGGTTGTTGGGGTTGTTGTTGCTTTAATTAATTCGCAGTTGAAAGTAATTTTGTACTACATTATGTATTGTGGAAGTACAATTCATGTAATTAATAAAACCAATGCCCCCGCTGTCTAAGAGTTAAAATGCGACTCTCACATTAATGTTATATGAAAAAAAATACCTAAGTTGTGTGTGAAGTTACTAATAGATCTCTTCTGCAATTCTCACAGCTGCAAAAAGTATTTTAGAGTTATATTGAGAACTAATTGGTTTATCACGGCTACGATTTTGTGTTTCGAAAGAAGTTATATCTTGGACTTAATGACTGTCTCTTACTTCCGTTTCGGAAAGCCAGTTGGGCCCACTATACCTGCATCAATTGTGTCATGGCGGAAATCGACTTCGCCTAGTAATATTCGCCTCGATTCGCCCGCGGCGTCCAAGCCGTAAAAGTTTAGCCAGAAAACGCGATAAATTGTTGCAAGTTCGAGCATGCGAGATATCGTGCTGAGGCCTTTGATTGATAAGCCCTATAGACTAAGGCTGGGTTGCACCATCTTACTTTAACAAACGTCATAAATCTGTCAAACTTCATACAAAAGCACCGGATTTTGTCATAGTTACCGTTAAAGTTAGGTGGTGCAACTGAGCCTAAGAGCTAGTGAACGCCAGACAGAACAGACCACCGTTGACCGTTCCAACTACTTGCCAGACAATCTTTTTAGAGTAGCTGTCAAAGCCACGATGACCCAAGCTTCATGATGCACCAACATTTTTACCTACCTATGACCGTTTCAACTCCAGATAATAATTTTAGGATAGCTGCCAAAGCCACGATGACCCAAGCGTCATGATGCACTGACGTTCTTACCTGTGTTGGGAGCATGCGCTGACAAACTTTCAGCTTTTATAAAATGACGTATAAAAGGACGTACCTTAGGGATTTTGTTGAAACTTCACATTGTTATTGTTTATATCTAATCAAATTACCTAGCTTTTAGGCTTTATATCTGACAATCTGTTACAAGCTGAATTTTACGCTGGCGACTTTACGGCCAAAGTTAATATTTGATAATAGTATGAAATCACCTTATAATCGTAAAAGCATAATTTCAAGACATCAAAAATAACTTGTCAAATGATCATCAATCAGTTTTTAATTACTTTCCTATATATTTATGAGTTCCTATCTCGGAAAATATCTAAGTGAGATGAGAGACGCAATTTTCTGCAATAATATACCTTTGGTCATATGATTTATGATTGACAAGTTAATGCGTGAAGTTTTATAAACTTATTTTGTTTCTATTCTTAGTAAAAATAAATTAACGCGTTTAATAACCCTCTCATTCATCAATTTAAAATATTAATCAGTTGATAAACTCAATGAGGGTTTTCGCGTATGAAAGATCCGCTAGATGGCGAGACGTGGATGTGGGGTCTGACTGCTGCGTGATTGGTGGATTTTGACATATCTGTCAATGTCATGTCAAAAATAACCAATCATGCAGGACCTCGCGTCTACGTATTGCCATCTGGCGGATTTTTCATACGCGAAAACCCTCATTGGATTCTTTGAATATCAATTCACAGGAAATAGAGACTTCTAAACATACGTTTACGTACAAAAATAGCGTGGCACTTTCACCAGTTTTCCAGTACAGCATTAAAAAACCACTCCAACTTAGCACCCTATCCTTGCTGGTAGGCTTAACAGCATCCAGTGTTAATTCCACTTAAAGTTGTTAAGTGCCAGTAAACCGTGGATGTATTTTTCCTTTCTCGACTAAAACGTTTCGGGGCTCACGCCACACCTGAGCTCGGTAAAGCTGCGCTGTATATTTTGTGTTTAAAACTAACGTCCGTATACACAAACGATACTTGCTTACGTGAAGCAGCAACGCTATGCGAAGTGGAACGCACAGCGTTGTTTAGAGCTTTGATTGGTTTGCACTCACTCAAGTATTGTCTATGAATAGGTTTTTGGGACCCTGTGCGTCCACGCGTATGTCATGTACTGTGAGACCTCATAGTTATGTTTGTGAATACGGGTTATAATAAGGCTCGAACAAACTTCATCTACTTACAACTGTGATTGGACTTTCATTAAACTGACCAATCACTTTCTCAACATATTTTTGTCTTTGGTTCTATCATTATAATATGTGAATTCAGAACAAAAACTTTACTGGTATTTTACTTTTGTTATGAAAAGTTATGATGAGCTACTAAGCTCGCACTTCTTTGTAACCGGAAGACGTAGTGTGGGCAGACCCCCCTCTAGGTGGACCGACGATCTGGTGAAGGTCGCGGGAGTTGCCTGAATGGGGGCGGCTCAGGACCGTTCATTGTGGAAAACCTTGGGGGAGGCCTTTGTCCAGCAGTGGACGTCATTTGGCTGAAACGAACTAAAGATAGAGTTATGTTAGAAACAAAGTCTGTAAAATACACATACGGTTTAAACCAGGGTTGCCAGCATTATTAATGTCAGCCCCAGCGTAAGGAGCCTGGACTATATGGTTACCCGTTACCCACTCAAGTTCATGGCTGCGCGCCTCAATTTAGTCAGTTATATTGCTCTCGCACCTGCTAGGTTTTAGCTATGCGCTAGCTAGAGCAAACTGGGCCTTTTAAGCTAAGAAAAACGAAAATAGCAATTTCACATAGAGGGTTTCACTAGATTTCACGGAACATTAAGAAGGTTTATTTGGTTATTCTATTTGTATCTGTTTTCCCGGCCCGATTCGACCAAACTTTTATCCGCGAATAACTCCTGGTATAACTGACACATTGACAGTTTCAGTATAAGAAATATGTTAAAACTGACGATTTATTCTGAAATTAATATTTACTCTTGTTTGGTCGAATCCACCCTAAACCCCGAAACCATATTTTAATAACAATTGTAATGTGGCTAACATTCTGGGCATTTTACCTCAAAATATCGACCACAAACACAGCTGTCTTGTCGTTTTTACTCATAGTTTTTTTCATCTTTACAACGTCATAGCACGTTTTAATAGAACCCTCATCATTTTGTTCTAGGATGAGCCAGCATCCTCGGGCGACAGCGGCGACGAGAGCGGCAGCGAGCCTGAGTCGCCGAGTGAGAAGCGGGCGCAGGCACAGAGCCTCAGGGCCGAGTGGCTGGAGCAGACTGAGAGAGAACCTGCCGCCAGGTGAGACAGAACTTATTTGACCTGTAGGCCTAAGTTGCGCGCCGTGATAAGCGGTTATCACGCCATTTTATCGATTTTGCCCATACATTTTGACGTCGATAAAAGTTATCACGGCGCGCATCTTAGGCCTACAGGATACCTTAGGAGACGGTAGAGAAGAAACCGAAAGTGAAATTGTGTCACTCAGCAAACAATTGATGCAGGAGTGGGAGGCTCAAGCGTCGGATTGAAAACTGGTAAGGCAGTTTACGCTGTGATTGCAGTACCTTCCTTATGTAGATGCCTTCAAGCAGCGAGCCTGAGTCGCCGAGTGAGAAGCGGGCGCAGGCACAGCACAGAGCCTCAGGGCCGAGTGGCTGGAGCAGACTGAGAGAGAACCGGTGGCACCAGGTGAGACAGAACTTATTTGAGCAGGATACCTTAGGAGACGGTAGAGAGTTCTAAAGTGAAATTACTTAGTTAAATCAGCTGTGTGTGTTAAAAAAGACGGTGGCGAAAAGTCGGACAGTGAAGCTGTGTCACTTGGCAGAGAATTGCTGTAAGATTTAATCTCAAACGGATGCTGAAAGGGAACCGGCCCACGTATGAGGCAAGGGTAGGTAGTTAATTTGTGCAGCTGCTTACCTTATGAGACGGTGGCATACAATCCTTCCTTGGAACTGTGTCACTCAGCAAATAATTGCTGTAAATATTCAACCCCAACTAGTCAGAGGCTCACACAGTATAGAAAAACAGGCACCAGGCAAAGCATTTGACTCTATGAAGACTAATCCATAATATTGCTAATTTTGTTTCAGGGACGTATCTGAACCTCACGCGTCCACATCCTCCACCACCCAAGAAGCTGATAGCAGTAAATCAAGCCAGCCATCTTTACCAAAACTCATGCCCAAGATTGACCTCCCTGGCGGTGCTATGCTCTACCACACGGGGGTTCTAGCTGGACTGGACGGACTCGGCAATAACATGGGAAATATTGGCAACATCGGGAACATTGGCAACATTGGACTTGGGAATTTAGCAATGGGATATCCACATAGCTTTATACTGGGACTAGCAAATCAAGGACAGGAAGGTGGTAAGTCTTGTTTGCTATACTCTACTTCATAGATCAATTTTTCAATCTATGTATATTCATAAACATTACTATGAGGTCTCACAGTGTGCGTGGTTGCACACGAACCAATCACAGAGCTCTATTCAAATGAATGCGTTCGATTTGCTGCTTCACTTGTGAATACGGGCATGATTGTTTTTGCTGCATTTTTTAATTAAGAAAAGAAACATAAAAACTCCTAGAGTTTAGGTCTTTTTGTGGTGTCATAATCTAGGTCCTAGACTAAAATGATANTAATTTTTATCCTTTACAGCATCATCATCAACCCAGCCGCAGTTTATTACCATACCGCTGTCAATGGCGATGGCCAACCCGACCGCCTCCACGTCCAATGGGTGTCCAGTCGGCGCCTCTAGTGACGACAGCAGCGAGCTACAGGACCTCAGCACTGGGAGGAAGTGACATGGGCTCCAAAGGAGGTTTGTATTGAACAAACTCAGCTACTGTTCAACGTTTTCCCAACGCCTAAATGAATGTTCGGTCGGAGCATTCAAGGATGACAGTAACGTGTTACGTGTGCAGCACTGAGAGATACTGATATACCAATCAAGCCATTATTACCTTCTTACCACCCTAGCACCCTCCTAACTCCTAAAAGTCAGAAGTTTGATTCAGAAGACAGTACTCAATACTCAATCGTTTATTGCATAACCACATTAGCACATTCACATTAGGTCTTACAATTTAGGCAGTTATACAATGTGGACCCAGTTAGGGCACAGCAACTTTAAGAAGGAGACAGAACGACGATCTTAATAGTTTCAAAATAAATTAATGTACAAATTGAGTTTGGTGGAAATGTCATTATTAAACGACAGGGTAAATTGACGCGTTTTGGGAGGCGTATGTCCAGCAGTAGACAGTCGACAAGCCGATGATGATGAAGGAGTATTTTATATCAACTCCTCCCTATGGAAAACCCAACTGCTAATGTCTAGCTCATTACATATTTGGAGGAAGTTTTTCATACAATAAAGAACACATTACAAGAGAAAATGCAAACTTGTAACAACTTTTAGGGCTTAACGTAATTCGATAATTTTCACTAATTTGTTTTTCTTTGATTTCAGCTACCACGGACGGCGTATCGCTTAAATATATTATAGGAACCAAGTTACTGAAAATTTGCTTACCAAAGTTAATATTTGGACTTGATATTACTGTATAATGTTTATAAATAAATTGTTGTTAATCATCAACTAGTTAATTTGTGCAAATGATATACTCTGTAACATAATTATGTATTGCATAGTACAATAATTGCTTCGTTAAAATCACCATGCTTGACGAAATCAGAATATTACAATTATACGACATTTTATTTCAAATCTTTTTAATCTAGATGGTGCTATTCCTTGAAAAACTCAAAAGAATTATTTTAATTTACCTTTGTTTCAATTCTTCATTTTTCATTGGGTAACAAATAGGTACAAACTTTTTCTGTACATAACTACCAAGCATATTTTTTGTTTCTTCAGGTACTGAATCAAGTAAGAAAATATACCTTTAATAATACACATTGAGATAAATGTTATTTATTTATGTAGTATTATTAACCTGTTCTATGAACTAAACGTAAAAAATTCCACCTAGGAATCGAACCCACTAAAATAATCTATCCATCGCTACACAAATCACTGGCCATTGTAACAGAAAACTAAACTATTATTAACGGATAATGATAAATTAACTGGCTCTACAATGTGAAAATTTGATGTGAAAAAGTATTTCACACTTATTAATAACTAGCTTTCCGCCCGCGGCTTCGCCCGCGTGGAATTTTGTCTGTCACAGAAAAAAATTATCGCGCGCGTCCCTGTTTCAAAAACCGGGATAAAAACTATCCTATGTTCTTTCCCGGGACTCAAACTATCTCTATGCCAAATTTCATCAAAATCGGTTGCGAGGTTTAAGCGGGAAAGCGTAACAGACAGACAGACAGACAGACAGACAGACAGACAGACAGACAGACAGACAGAGTTACTTTCGCATTTATAATATTAGTTGGGATNCCATGCTTGACGAAATGTAATTTAAGACATGATATCTACAGAATATTTCAATTATACGGCATTTTATTACAAATCTTTTTAATTTTGACGGTGCTATTCCTTGAAAAACTCAAAAGAATTATTTCAATAAGGTACTTTTATTTCAATTTTTCGTTTTTCTTTTGATAGCAATACAAACTGATCTTTCTTTCAAATACTTGGTTAGATAGAATATTTTTTTATTCCGTACCTTGCTAGGTATATTAAAAAAAACACACATCCTTTAATAATACACATTGAGATAAATGTTATTTATTTATGTAGTATTATTAACCTGTTCTATGAACTATACGTAAAAATTTCCACCTAGGAATCGAACCCACTAAAATAATCTATCCATCGCTACACAAATCACTGGTCATTGTAACAGAAAACTAAACTATTATTAACGGATAATGATAATTAACTGGCTCTACAATGTGAAAATTAGATGTGAAAAATGATTTCACAATTAATTCAACTCAAGCATGGTGATCTTATTAAATATTGGAGTCATGTTTATATTATTGGATCATTTTATGCAGTACCCGGTCAAACTCATTACGTAAAACTTGATCATGCATTTTTTGCATATTCATAAATGCTCGTGAATTCTGGGGACTGCATAAGGTGGTCCAAAAAACCTTGCCTTGCCAAGTAATTATAATTGTTAATAATGATACGGAGCACCTCGTTTAAAAGTAATATTTCGCGCGGTCGGTGCAACAACGCCATAACTGTAAAATGAAAAAATTGGGGTATGACGTAACTTGCCACTTAGACAAGAGCCAGTTACCTCCACTGAAAAATTGTTTAGTTATTGCTTACACAGAAAAAGTGACTTGCGAACTGTGGTTATGAAGAATTAATTTTGTATAATATAAAGAAACTATTTTGTAGTGAGCTTAACCTGTTGGTTATAGGTAAACAGTTTGCAAGTCATTTCTTTTGTGTAAGCAAGCAGTAACTAAACATTTTTTGTTCAGATGTGAAAATCGTAGAGGCAAGTTATTTCATTTCACATACCCATGAAGAGATTTTCAGATACTGACGACCATGTTTTTATAATGGAGCGGACAATAAAAGCTTTCTGTAATAGGCATTTAAGCAAAGCCGCCGTTGAAGCTAATGTGCCTATGATGAGGTGAGCTTACCCAAAGAGTGAATTCAATCCACTCTTACTTTGAAGTTATATGACTTTATAGGTACTGGATTTTTGACTGTGCGTAACTCTCAAAAATAAATATTTCAGTTATGACATTGTTGCACCGTGTACGCGATAATTGTATGTATAATGCGAATCATCATATTTATTGTTAGGTAAATACTCATATCGTTTGTGAAATTAATAAGTATTTTTATATGGAAACACAGAGGGTGTAGATTTTGATGCAGTTTGCGACTGGAGTGGGTAAGTAATTTATTTTGAGTAGGTATTAACAGCTAAGGATAAGTTTTGAGTCTTTCACCTAATATAAATATGCATATGGCATGAAAATCTTACTCTTATAAGCAACAAAATGTTTTAAACTTTAGTGTGGACCACCATTACAAACTTCGGGGTGTGATATTTATGTAAGCTCAACAGTTACATCATCTTAATTTTAACCGTAACTGTATCTATAACCATTTTATTGTATGGAGTTTAACAGACTTCATGTTTGTTACAGATAAAGTAAAATGGTGTAACTTAGGGTTACAATAATTATTATTGCAATACCTATTGCACCAAAGAACGATATAAAGTGCCACAGAAGCTCGTTGTGCATCGTCTTGTCGTATTGAAATATTGTAATCGTACTGTGCAAAATAATAAATATCAACTCATTAACCTACTAAAAAATACCAACCGAATTAAGAACCTCCTCCTTTGTTGAAGTCGGTTAAAAATCTTATTCAGCAAGTTATTTTTACCCGACTACGCCAGAAGGAGGGTTATGTTTTTTTTTGTAATTTTTTAATCACACGACAAGGAATTACTCCCGTATTCACAAATGATACTTGCTTAAGTGAAGCAGCAAATTGAACGCACAGCGTTGAATAGAGCTCTTTGATTGGTTCGTGTGTCACCCTGTGCGTCCACGCGCACTGTGAGACCTCATAGTAATGTTTGTGAATAAACGGACGTTAGATTCATAGCAAGATTCAAGCAGATTGTAATGGTTGGTCAACTTTAAAAACAATTTAAATTATTAATACTTTTAACTTGAGCTTGCATTTGATTATGTTACAGTATTGTATTGATTGAGGAGTTATTTTTAGTTAACATTTTTGGAATAATATGATTTTTGTTCTTCTCTGCGGTCTGTATTAAAAGCTACTACGTACAAAAGCGACCTTATGTTCAATACTCAAAAACACAATTTTGATTGTTTTGAGATATTCTTGTATTTTTAATTGATTTTTAGTTAGTGACCTCACAGGCTGCAGGGTTTTAGTTTCAATGNTTTCAATTTAATAATAGCATTACGTTATGTTAAAGCATTTATAATGTAATTGTTATCGTCAGTATTTTATGAATAAATATTGTAAAACTTTAGGAGCCTGCTCTGAACATCGAACAACATCATAACGATGTTTTTTCTTTTACTATAATAATTAATGTTCCTTTTCGTTTCGGTTTTGATAATAAAATAAAATAAAATGTGTTTCTTGTTTTATTATCCTTAAAGTTACTTTTAATAGTCACTAACCATTAGAGATCTGAAGGTATGTACTTCTATTACTTAGAATCTGATCGTAATTACATAGATTAGGTTTATTTTATTTTAAAACTATTTACCCAAACTGCATGGTCTATCAGATTAATTTAACTTTTCTCATTTCTTATTTTTACTGTAAATAAAATACTCTTTTGTACTAAAATTGATTTTCTTTAGATTAATAACAATCCAGTAAGTACCTTTTAATCAAGTGCTTACTGAATTTAGTTGCAAGTTTATCTTCATGACCAACACAAATATTCCATAGCACTTCTCAGAATCCATGGCATCCACCAATATTGTATTGTAATGGGAGCTTACAATTTTTTTCCCTCGCCAAACAATTACTCGTCTATCCGCCATTGCTGTTTTCAAAAAAAGAACGCGCACGAATCGAGACCACCGACAAAAACTAAACCTAGACCTGTGTGCCTACCATGAGTTTACGTTAGGTGTGCTCGCTAGCGACTGCGTAAAAAAATGACATTTAAATGTATGACATATTGTGCAGCGCCCCTAGCGACTACTTTCAAGAAATAAAATCTTCATAGAATTTTTTGACGTATTCGCTAGCGAGCTCACCTAACGTAAACTCATGGTAGGCACACTGTTCGAAAAAGTTTTTATCACCGGCCAGTTCGAAGGACCTCCTCGCTGTTATGAATAGTTCATTAAAAAGGTTGGATTTAAATAGGTCTTGTTCGAATGGTGATATTTGGCTTGGATCGATGGTTTCCAATATTAATAATGTTACTAGACCTGTTATTGGCTGAGTATTGGCCAATGAGCTCGCTTGATTGATAATGAGTTGGGTATTGACAGCTAGAAAACCGTAGAGTGGCAATATAATGCGGACTGCATTTTTGTGGATAATTTGCTTGCCTAATGCAACAGGGAAGCAATGCAGGCATGCCGACCCGGCAATATTGCGATATTAGTTAATTATATTATGCTGAAAAGGGTAATGTGAGTTTTTCAAGATTTTTCTTACGTTGCTGATAGGTAAGTAAGTGGTAATAAACAACAATATTGCTTTGACACTTACAATAACGGAAATGAATAGATGCGAGTAAACATTTACAGTGTCATTCTTCTAAAACAAAAAAATAATGGTCTATTATCAATTAATGTCAATTTTTTATATTTTATAATTATAGTTTTCATAACCGATTAAAAATAAATTCATAGTCTAATAGGAAATAAAAAATAAGATAAATAGGTACCTACTATGTTGTATGGATGAATGTTTAATAAATACTGGCTGACTCGACAGACATCGATTCACTCTGTCAAAAAAATAATGAATGGGAAAAGAAAAATTACGATAGCAACCTCTTTCAAACTCCAAAAACAAGTAACAAAAAATAAAACTTTTATTTATTTATTGAAAAAGATACCAACGACATATAACTTTACATGCAACAATAATGTTAAGTAGGTACAATATTAAAATATATGCCTTTACAGGTGGATACATCATTTCCCAATATCGAACGTTTTACGTAGAATAAACAAAAAGCGGTCTACCTTTTTGATTTTACCTCATACTGAATAGACAA